ATTTCAAAAGAGAGTTCTGCTACTTGAGGAGAAAGTTCCGCTATTTGAAAAGGGAGTTCTGCTATTTGAAAAGAATGCTCCGCTATTTGAAAAGGGGGTTCTGCTATTAGAAAAGAATGCTCCGCTATTTGAAAAGGGAGTTCCGCTATTTGAAAAGACAGTTTCGTTATTTGAAAAGGGAGTTCTGCAATTTGAAAAGAATGCTTCGTTATTTGAAAAGGGATTTCTGCTATTTGAAAAGAATGCTCCGCTATTTGAAAAGAGAGTTCTGCTACTTGAGGAGAAAGTTCCCCTATTTGAAAAGGGAGTTCTGCTATTTGAAAAGAATGCTCCGCTATTTGAAAAGGGAGGTCTGCTTTTGAAAAGAAGGTTCCGCTATTTGAAAAGGGTGTTCTGCTATTTGAAAATATTGCTCCGCTATTTGAAAAGGGAGTTCTGCTATTTGAAAAGAATGCTCCGCTATTTGAAAAGGGAGTTCTCCTATTTGAAAAAAATGCTCCGCTATTTGAAAAGGGAGTTCTGCTATTTGAAAAGAAAGTTCCGCTATTTGAAAAGGGAGTTCTGCTATTTGAAAAGAATGCTCCGCTATTTGAATAGGGACTTCTGTTATTTGAAAAGAATGCTCCGCTATTTGAAAAGAGAGTTCTGCAACTTGAGGAGGAAGTTCCGCTATTTGAAAAGCGAGTTCTGCTATTTCCAAAGAATGCTCCGCTATTTGAAAAAGGAGTTCTGCTATTTGAAAAGAATGCTCCGCTATTTGAAAAGGGAGTTCGGCTATTTGAAAAGACAGTTTCGTTATTTCAAAAGGGAGTTCTGTTATTTGAAAAGAATGCTCCGCTATGTGAAAAGGGAGTTCTGCTATTTGAAAAGAAAGTTTCGTTATTTGAAAAGGGAGTTCTGCTATTTGAAAAGAATGCTCCGCCATTTGAAAAGGGAGGTCTGCTATTTGAAAAGAAGGTTCCGCTATTTGAAAAGGGAGGTCTGCAATTTGAAAATATTGCTCCGCTATTTGAATAGGGAGTTCTGCTATTTGAAAAAAATGCTCCGCTATTTGAAAAGGGAGTTCTCCTATTTGAAAAAAATGCTCCGCTATTTGAAAAGGGAGTTCTGCTATTTGAAAAGAATGCTCCGCTATTTGAAAAGGGAGTTCTGCTATTTGAAAAGAATGCTCCGCTATTTGAAAAGAGAGTTCTGCAACTTGAGGAGGAAGTTCCGCTATTTGAAAAGCGAGTTCTGCTATTTCAAAAGAATGCTCCACTATTTGAAAAAGGAGTTCTGCTATTTGAAAAGAATGCTCCGCTATTTGAAAAGAGAGTTCTGCTATTTGAAAAGACAGTTTCGTTTTTTGAAAAAGGAGTTCTGCTATTTGAAAAGAATGCTCCCCTATGTGAAAAGGGAGTTCTGCTATTTGAAAAGAAAGTTTCGTTATTTGAAAAGGGACTTCTGCTATTTGAAATGAATGCGCCGCTATTTCAAAAGGGAGGTCTGCTATTTGAAAAGAATGTTCCGCTATTCGAAAAGGGAGTTCTGCTATTTGATAAGAAAGTTCCGCTATTTGAAAAGGGAGGTCTGCTATTTGAAAAGAATGCTGCGCTATTTGAAAAGGGTGTTCTGATATTTGAAAAGAAAGTTCCGCTATTTGAAAAGGGAGTTCTGCTATTCGAAAAGAATCTCCGCTATTTGAAAAGGGAGTTCTGCTATTTAATAAGAATGCTCCGCTATTTGAAAAGGGAGTTCTTCTATTTGAAAGGAATGCTCCGCTATTTGAAAATGGAGTTCTGCTAATTGAAAAGAAAGTTCTGCTATATGAAAAGGGTGTTCTGCTTTTTGAAAATAAGGCTCAGCTATTTGAAAAGAGAGTTCAGCTATTTGAAAAGAATGTTCCGTTATTTGAAAAGAGAGTTCTGCTACTTGAGGAGGAAGTTCCGCTATTTGAAAAGGGAGCTCTGCTATTTCAAAAGAATGCTCCGCTATTTGAAAAGGTACTTCTGCTATTTGAAAAGAATGCTGCGCTACTTAAAAAGGGAGTTCTGCTATTTAATAAGAATGCTCCGCTTTTTAAAAGGGAGTTCTGCTATTTGAAAAGAATGCTCCGTTATTTGAAAAGGGAGTTCTGCTATTTGAAATGAAATTTCTGCTATATGAAAAGGGAGCTCTGCTATTTGAAAATAATGCTCACCTATTCGAAAAGAGAGTTATGCTACTTGAGGAGAAAGTTCCCCTATTTGAAAAGGGAGTTCTGCTATTTGAAATGAATGCTCCGCTACTTGGAAAGAGAGGTCTGGTATTTGAAAAGAAGGTTCCGTTATTTGAAAAGGGAGTTGTGTTAATGAAAATATTGCTCCGCTATTTGAAAAGGGAGTTCTGCTATATGAAAAGAATGCTCCGCCATTTGAAAAGGGAATTCTCCTATTTGAAAAGAACGTTCCGCTATTTGAAAAGGGAGTTCTGCTATTTGAAAAGAAAGTTCCGCTATTTGAAAAGGGAGTTCTGCTATTTGAAAAGAATGCTCCGCTATTTGAAAAGGGAGTTCCGCTATTTGAAAAGAATGCCCCGCTATTTGAAAAGAGAGTTCTGCTATTCGAAAAGAATGCTCCGCTACTTGAAAAGGGAGTTCTGCTATTTAATAAGAATTCTCCGCTATTTGAAAAGGGAGTTCTGTTATTTGAAAAGAATGCTCCGCTATTGAAAAGGGAGTTCTGCTATTTAATAAGAATGCTCCGCTATTTGAAAAGGGAATTCTGCTATTTGAAAAGAAAGTTCTGCTATATGAAAAGGGAGTTCTGCTATTTGAAAATAATGCTCAGCTATTTGAAAAGAGAGTTATGCTACTTCAGGAGAAAGTTCCCCTATTTGAAAAGGGATTTCTGCTATTTGAAAGGAATGCTCCGCTACTTAAAAAGGGAGGTCTGCCATTTGAAAATATTGCTCCGCTATTTGAAAAGGGAGTTCTGCTATATGAAAAGAATGCTCCGCCATTTGAAAAGGGAGTTCTCCTATTTGAAAAGAATGCTCCGCTATTTGAAAAGGGAGTTCTGCTATTTGAAAAGAAAGTTCCGCTATTTGAAAAGGGAGTTCTGCTATTTGAAAAGAAAGTTTCGTTATTTGAAATGGGAGTACTGCTATTTGAAAAGAATGTTCCGCTATTTGAAAAAGGAAGTCTGCCATTTGAAAAGAATGCTCCGCTATTTGAAAAGGGAGTTCTCCTATTTGAACAGAATGCTCGGCTATTTGAAAAAGGAATTCTGGTATTTGAAAAGAAAGTTCCACTACTTGAAAAGGGAGTTCTCCTATTTGAAAAAAAGTTTCGCTATTTGAAAAGGGAGTTCTGCTATTTGGAAAGAAAGTTCTGCTATATGAAAAGGGATTTCTGCTATTTGAAAATAATGCTCAGCTATATGAAAAGAGAGTTATGCTACTTGAGGAGAAAGTTCCCCTATTTGAAAAGGGAGTTCTGCCATTTGAAATGAATGCTCCGCTACTTGAAAAGGGAGGTCTGCTTTTTGAAAATATTGCTCCGCTATTTGAAAAGGGAGTTCTGCTATATGAAAAAAATGCTCCGCCATTTGAAAAGGGAGTTCTCCTATTTGAAAAGAATGCTCCGCTATTTGAAAAGGGAGTTCTGCTATTTGAAAAGAAAGTTCCGCTATTTGAAAAGGGAGTTCTGCTATTTGAAAAGAATGCTCCGCTATTTGAAAAGGGAGTTCAGCTATTTGAAAAAATGCTCCGCTATTTGAAAAGAGAGTTCTGCTACTTGAGGAGGAATTTCCCCTATTTGAAAAGGGAGTTCTGCTATTTCAAAAGAATGCTCCGCTATTTGAAAAGGTACTTCTGCTATTTGAAAAGAATGCTCGGCTATTTGAAAAGGGAGTTCTGCTATTTGAAAAGAAAGTTTCGTTATTTGAAAAGGGAGTTCTGCTATTTGAAAAGAATGCTCCGCTATTTCAAAAGGGAGGTCTGCTATTTGAAAAGAATGTTCCGCTATTCGAAAAGGGAGTTCTGCTATTTGAAAAGAACGTTCTGCTATTTGAAAAGGGTGTTCTGATATTTGAAAAGAATGCTCGGCTATTTGAAAAGGGTGTTCTGATATTTGAAAAGAAAGTTCCGCTATTTGAAAAGGGAGTTCTGCTATTTGGAAAGAAAGTCATGCTATTTGAAAAAGGAGTTCTGCCATATGAAAAGAATGCTCCGCTTTTTGAAAAGGGAGTTCTGCTATTTAAAAAAATGCTCCGCTATTTGAAAAGAGAGTTCTTCTATTTGAAAATAATGCTCCGTTATTTGAAAAGTGAGTTCTGCTATTTGAAAAGAGTGCTCCGCTATATTTTAAAAAGGGAGTTCTGCTATTTGAAAAGAAAGTTTCGTTATTTGAAAAGGGAGTTCTGCTTTTTGAAAAGGATGCTCCGCTATTTCAAAAGGGAGGTCAGCTATTTGAAAAGAATGTTCCGCTATTCGAAAAGGAAGTTCTGCTATTTGAAAAGAACGTTCCGCTATTTGAAAAGGGAGTTCTGCTATTTGAAAAGAATGCTCCACTATTTGAAAAGGGTGTTCTGATATTTGAAAAGAAAGTTCCGCTTTTGAAAAGGGAGTTCTGCTATTTGAAAAGAAAGTTATGCTATTTGAAAAGGGAGTTCTGCTATATGAAAAGAATGCTCCGCTATTTGAAAAGGGAGTTCTGCTATTTAAAAAAATGCTCCGATATTTAAAAAGGGAGTTCTGCTATTTGAAAATAACGCTCCGTTATTTGAAAAGGGAGTTCTGCTATTTCAAAAGAATGCTCCGCTATTTGAAAAGAGAGTTCTGCTACTTGAGGAGAAAGTTCCTCTATTTGAAAAGGGAGTTCTGCTATTTGAAAAGAATGCTACGCTATTTGAAAAGCGAGTTCTTCTATTTGAAAAGAATGCTCCGCTATTTGAAAAGGGAGTTCTGCTATTTGAAAAGAATGCTCCGCTATTTGAAAAGGGAGTTCTGCTATTTGAAAGAATGCTCCGCTTTTTGAAAAGAGAGTTCTGTTACTTGAGGAGAAAGTTCCGCTATTTGAAAAGGGAGTTCTGCTATTTGAAAAGAATGCTCAGCTATTTGAAAAGGGAGTTCTGCTATTTGAAAAGAATGCTCAGCTGTTTGAAAAGGGAGTTCTGATATTTGAAAAGAAAGTTTCGTTATTTGAAATGGGAGTACTGCTATTTGAAAAGAATGTTCCGCTATTTGAAAAAGGAAGTCTGCCATTTGAAAAGAATGCTCCGCTATTTGAAAAGGGAGTTCTCCTATTTGAACAGAATGCTCGGCTATTTGAAAAAGGAATTCTGGTATTTGAAAAGAAAGTTCCACTACTTGAAAAGGGAGTTCTCCTATTTGAAAAAAAGTTTCGCTATTTGAAAAGGGAGTTCTGCTATTTGGAAAGAAAGTTCTGCTATATGAAAAGGGATTTCTGCTATTTGAAAATAATGCTCAGCTATTTGAAAAGAGAGTTATGCTACTTGAGGAGAAAGTTCCCCTATTTGAAAAGGGAGTTCTGCCATTTGAAATGAATGCTCCGCTACTTGAAAAGGGAGGTCTGCTTTTTGAAAATATTGCTCCGCTATTTGAAAAGGGAGTTCTGCTATATGAAAAAAATGCTCCGCCATTTGAAAAGGGAGTTCTCCTATTTGAAAAGAATGCTCCGCTATTTGAAAAGGGAGTTCTGCTATTTGAAAAGAAAGTTCCGCTATTTGAAAAGGGAGTTCTGCTATTTGAAAAGAATGCTCCGCTATTTGAAAAGGGAGTTCAGCTATTTGAAAAGAATGCTCCGCTATTTGAAAAGAGAGTTCTGCTACTTGAGGAGGAAGTTCCCCTATTTGAAAAGGTAGTTCTGCTATTTCAAAAGAATGCTCCGCTATTTGAAAAGGTACTTCTGCTATTTGAAAAGAATGCTCCGCTATTTGAAAAGGGAGTTCTGCTATTTGAAAAGAAAGTTTCGTTATTTGAAAAGGGAGTTCTGCTATTTGAAAAGAATGCTCCGCTATTTCAAAAGGGAGGTCTGCTATTTGAAAAGAATGTTCCGCTATTCGAAAAGGGAGTTCTGCTATTTGAAAAGAACGTTCTGCTATTTGAAAAGGGTGTTCTGATATTTGAAAAGAATGGTCCGCTATTTGAAAAGGGTGTTCTGATATTTGAAAAGAAAGTTCCGCTCTTTGAAAAGGGAGTTCTGCTATTTGAAAAGAAAGTCATGCTATTTGAAAAGGGAGTTCTGCCATATGAAAAGAATGCTCCGCTTTTTGAAAAGGGAGTTCTGCTATATAAAGAAATGCTCCGCTATTTAAAAAGGGAGTTCTGCTATTTGAAAATAATGCTCCGTTATTTGAAAAGTGAGTTCTGCTATTTGAAAAGAATGCTCCGCTATTTGAAAAGGGAGTTCTGCTATTTAAAAAGAATGCTCCGCTGTTTGAAAAGCGAGTTCTTCTATTTGAAAAGAATGCTCCGCTATTTGAAAAGGGAGTTCTGCTATTTGAAAAGAATGCTCCGCTATTTGGAAAGGAAGTTCTGCTATTTGAAAGAATGCTCCGCTATTTGAAAAGAGACTTCTGTTACTTGAGGAGAAAGTTCCGCTATTTGAAAAGGGAGTTCTGCTATTTGAAAAGAATGCTCAGCTATTTGAAAAGGGAGTTCTGCTATTTGAAAAGAATGCTCAGCTATTTGAAAAGGGAGTTCTTATATTTGAAAAGAAAGTTTCGTTATTTGAAATGGGAGTACTGGTATTTGAAAAAAATGCTCCGCTATTTGAAAAAGGAAGTCTGCCATTTGAAAAGAATGCTCCGCTAGTTGAAAACGGAGTTCTCCTATTTGAACAGAATGCTCGGCTATTCACTGGAAAGAAGATTTGATTTACATACTTTGCAAAAATGATGTAATTTTACTGCAAATTTACAGTAAAACCTAATTTCCAACAAAAATGTACATTGACATGGTATGTAAATTTTTGAATTGTATGTAAAATACGTGTCAATTCCATGTAAATATCTACCCTTTTTTTGGAAAGGCTGGAATAACCCTGGAAAAACAATGTGAAACTCTGAGCAAATTCACTATGTAAAAACCCTGTAAAAGATTCCTCAAGAAACGTGTCAAAAGCATGTAAATTTAATTTTAAAAAGCCTGCAAACTTATTGTAAAAATGGTGGAAATTCCTCTGTCCCAATTATGTAAAAACAATGTAAAAAAGCTGTAAAAGTAAATGAAAGAAAATGGAAGAAAACCTGCAAAAAAGCAAATTCACTATGTAAAAACCCTGTAAAAGATTCTTCGAGAACCGTGTCAAAAGCATGTAAATTTAAATTCAATAAGCCTCGTGAATATAGTGTAAAAATCATGCAGTTTTAAATTCCAAGGAATCATGTAAAAATCACGTAAATTTATCTGCAACGAACCATGTAAATATTCTGTAGGAAACGAAGTAGCCATTCCGAAGTTGATGAGAGGACTGGGGACGAGTGTTAAATTAAGCCCAAATTAAGAAATGAACCAAATAGCTAAAAAGAACAGCTCAAAATTAGTAAGTATACAAAGTTTGAAGACATTTGCATGAATACCTTTCGAATAATAAGGTTTCGAAAATTGTGAAATTAGTGATTAAAAGATTGTTTTTCGGACGCGCGTCCCAAAAACAAAAATTACAATACCGTTCACAGTAATAAATATCGCGATTTTTGAAAGCCTATATATTATTCGGAGGATATTCATGTAAACGTCTTCAAACTTTGTATGCTTACTAATTTTGAGGTGGCCTTCTTTTCTTAATTTGGGCAATTTTTAACATTCGTCCACAGTCTACTCATCAACTTTGGAATGGCTAATATGGAGAATTTCGGTAAAAACACAGTTATAATGTGAAAAACCCTGCAAATTTAAATTCAATAACCCTTTAATTTAAATTTTATATGATCACAAAAATGATATAATACATACAGAATGAACGCATAGAAACTTTTCGTTAAAAAAGCTATCAGTATTACTGCAACGAGCAACAACATGCATGTAAATATAGTACAATAAAATATGGTATTTAGAATATACATGTTAAAATTCAAAAAAATGGCAACAGAAATATTGGCATAAAAAGCGTAAAATTTCTATAAAACGTACGGAGCATTTTTTACCCTCGATCTCCGTCAATAATTGCTAATAAGTTAGTTTATTTTACGAGTCACTTTTAAGTTTTAAGTTATTGTACTTCACTCTGTCGTTGTCATTGATTCTAACTACTTCATCTTCAAATAATTTTCTGCCTAGTTCCACACAGAGAGATTCTTTTGTGTCGCCTTTGCCAATTTTAAGTTTTTTAACTTTACACAATTTTTTTACACGGTCAGGTTTTAAGTCTTGCAGCTGTTTCGTCTTTGTATAGAAAAGCGTCACCAATAATGCAGAATCCTTAGAAATCTAAAGAAAAGAAAACCATATACGTGAATACCACATATATAGTATCTATAGAACACAGTACATTGTAATAATGTATGTGTATTAAGGATGAGTTAGTTAATTAATTTTACCGTAAACTAGTTTATGCCGTCCTCTTTCATGTTGTAACAGATTGCACGGTAGTGTTGTGCCGCGCTGGAGTCTGCTGGAGCTCCGCCGTGTGTTTTTTTTTGTTTGTTAACCGGAGCTGGAGTGGTAGGGCCTTCTCCCAGCTCCGGCCAGAAAGTCAGAAAGAAGAGAAATGTGACAATTTCGAATAATTAGCGTTGGTTACAAACAATGGCAACATTGAATTTGTTAAAAGTGCATAAACAGTAATCTGAAGTCATATATGCTATGTCAAACCATCTCGCGATTTTCGGCTACTGCAAACGGTGATATTACAATAAGTCATTATATCTGTGATCTATCTTATCACAGAAACAGTTGTAAATCGCAAGCGTCATAATTTAATACGCTGTATCACGTCATCTTACCTTGGGGACAAAATTGAGCCGAATAATATCCGCCATAATCCCAGACTATATTGCCTGTGACTGTGTTGTGAACCAGTGCAGCCGGAGCCCGAGTTGAAAAACCGGAGTTTGCACAGCACTAAAGTTCGGTGTCAGCTACGGTACACACCTGTAAATTGCTTGCGTTGTTCAGTACATTATACATGTAGTATCTGACTTACCAGCTAGCCCAGCATTTATCATCCATATATAATTGATTTCGTTTAACATTTTGGTCGCGATATTTCTTGTGCTCTGTCAGCTCTTCACCCTTTAGAACAAGAAAATATAATTGGCAATTAGCAAAGCATTTTCCTCATTTTACGAAATTGCAACATTCTCCATTCTTCGTAAGTGAGCAAGTGTAATGTACTGTAAGCAAGGCTGTAGCGAGGGGGTATTGGGGAGGATTAAACCCCTCCCCCCAAGCTTTTTAGAATTAACATATTTGGAAAATCGGGTTGGCCATTCGGAAAATTACAGCAATAATAGTATAACAACATTTTAGTTGTTAAACAGAGAAAATATAATATAGTTGTATTGTCAGTAGTTTAAAATGATTTACGAAATCATGGCATTTAAATGGATAACATTTAACAAGTGGTAAATCGGTAAATATTTTTGGGCTCTTTTTTCTTCTCAAGGCCGTAGCAACTGGGGTGGGGGGGGGGGGGGGGGGGGGGGGGGGGGAGGTTGCAGCCATCTCAATAATTTGATAAAAATTATTCTTTTTTCAAAATCATGCAGAACTTTATCAAATAATATACCTTTAAAATATTGACAGTTGATTAATTTTAAGCGGCTACATTATCCATGACAAACTGCAAAGAATCATATTACCCAGACTTTCCTGCAAATTTTCCAATATATAGTTAATTAAATAGGCTTTCGCTACTAAATTTCGGTAAGCAAATTGTAAATTACGATATACTAAAACGCTGTTTTCTGTCCTTCAGAATTCTGTCAAATCTTCCCCAAAGTCCAGGAAATAGCATTTCAGAGACTCTAAATTTAAAAATTTCCTCGGGCCTTCGTTTTCAGCCACACCTCCAATAAAAAGGCTTCCCACAGCACTGCCTACTTCTTTAATATGTCTGCGTAAAATATGCCTTTTTTTGTTTGTAAATTGCGTCTTCATTTCCCGGATAGCAAACACCTTCGTGGCTTCGTATGTCATGAAATATTCGGAATCTTTTTTCGTCATTCGGAAATTTTTGGTCTTCACTCCTCCCCCCCCCCCTTGTTAGTCTTGTTAGAGACCCCTTGTTAGTCTAGGGGGGGGGCAGAAAATTACATTAAATCCTTTTAAAATACGTTTACACAGTCACATTAAACTGCGCAAGAGGAGCACGTTGCTTGAAAATTTTAGTAATTTTATATACATCAGCTAGTGTAGCAGTCTCTTGGCAATACTAGCCCTGCTTGATTAGAGCTAACCACCTGCGCAGACGTTGTTAGTGGCCGAGGCCCCACCTACAGTAACGTCTGCTCACATTCGCTATACATTTCAGCAGGGCTGCAAATAAATATTTGACTTCACAGGACATTTGTCAGATCATTTTTAATTTTAATTTGGTCGGACATAACTTGAATTTTGTCGGACAAAAAGCAGCATAACTAAATTTGGTCGGACATATAGATATATATAAGTCACAAGACATATATACTGTAAGTCACAAGACAAGTATGTATGCCATTCCGGCGCAACGTTAAGTAAACTGTAAAGTAAATGCTAGAACGCCTCGTAAGTTTTATTGCAAAATGCAAATTGAGTGAATTTGCAATCGGATTTTGTCACAACAAAAAAATTTATCTGATTATGTGATCCCGAGCAAAAGTTGCTCTGACATTTTTGTGGGGATAAAACGCTGAAACTGAATCGCGGGCAAAACGGTAACTGAAAGCGGAAACTGAAATGAGGATAAAACGCTGAAAT